TTATTTTTATATAATTTTGTAGTATTTTTGTATGTTTCTTTCTATTCCTAGAGCCCGAAAATAATCGTCATATTGTGAAGGCAGTCTCCCAAAACGTGGCTAATTGTCAATCGTATATCGCATCAAATATATTTTGAAAGTCTTTCAATCGTGATCAGAAATCCGTGGGTAAGCCGTCCATCCTACTTACTTGAGTATGCTATTTGTTTTGTACGCTGTTAAGCGAAGACACGGAAATGATAAAAAGAAATACAACAACGATGATGAAACCCAGTTAAGAACAGAAGCTGGAAATAACACGTTGAGCGTAGATAGAATACGATGAGTTCAGATATTTCTTCGATAACAAGAAAAAACGAAACTGAATAGAACATTGGAGGAATGAAATGCTTGTAAAACTGCTTTCCTCCAGTAAAAAACTTTAAAAATAAGAAATCGTAATGCCTATTATTATTATAAAACTTTAACCTTAATAAATAGGATAATAACTACGGATCCTTCATGGATGTGACACCTAGCCACTTAGATTAAGATATGAGTCAAAGCCATAAGGTTGTTGAAAATAAAATATTGCGTAGAGTATTTGGACCACAGAAGTATAAACCAACCGGAGAATTAAGAGGATTACACAAATGTCATTTTTTTTTTCTCCCCTTCCTCGCATTTTCGGCTATACGAATTATTTTCCCGCGAAACGGGAAAGGACGAGGGATTAATGCCAGAATTTAAAAATCCCGAAGGCAACGAGTCTCAAACTCTTTACCTTCGGTTTATCAGGTTGCCAGGCAACGCGTGTTTTGTACACATATATAATATAATTGATTAAATTTTTCGGCGAATAAAATGGGCATATGAAATTCTTGGGCTAAGTAACGAATGAATCTCTTTAAGGTTAAAATGTCTTATCTACCAACCGATAAGATCTCGAGGGGCAGGATTTGGGTGACAGTCGGTGGATGGAAGTATGTATAAGCGATTAACGATATCGGCATCGAACCTTCGAGCCTATATTATTATTATTACATAGATAATGTCCTTTATTATATATATTACGCATCGATCTATCCTTCGAACCCGAACGGATACATCCCTACCTCCGCCACTTGGGCCCCAATCAGTGCCGCCAGGTTGACTAATTGCCCCGGACGGTCCGCGTCATTATCTCAACCGCGAAGGGGCGGCTTCCTCAACGGTACCGCTCCACGATATACCATAACTGTTTCCCTTCCCTTCTCAGGGTTCCTTCTTAGCCAATCAGATCAAGCCTGTCTTTACGGTCAACCGTCGTCTTAGTGTCCTCTTAATGGAATATTCAACACCTTCGAGTGAACAAAAAATACCGTTTTCCACGATTATCATAACCACCAATTTATTGGAGTATATAAATAAGCATAGGTTAATAGTTCTGAGACTTATAACTTAAAAAGTATACAGTTTATGGTCAAAGTAAACATTATTGAAAATAATAAACCAAAATTAGAAAAGCTTCCAAATTCCCTAAAAACGAACCAAAAATCTAGTGCGCGCATCACACAACTTTCACTTACCGCTCAACTTCAAATAGAAATTATTTTTATGCCCATGTTGGGCTATTATAAAATGTTGGAATTGCATTTTTAACCGAGCTAAAGCTTAACAAATCACCAATACCAGTTATTATATTAGTCTAGTTTTCAAAAATTATTATTTATATTTTTTTCGCCATTCTCCGTTACCTTCTAGAACTTTCTATATTCGATATCGTTTTTCCTAAAATTCTGCGCTTTCCAATGATATATTATCACTGACTAGTATTTGCGGAGATCATTTTCGATCTGGATAAGCATTTTTATTTTTTTTTCCTTTATTCAATTATCAACTTCTTTCATAAGTTATATTTAGCAATTTTTCGTAACTTTTTATAATGAAATATAGTTAATTATTTGAAATGAACCATATTAAAGATACTTTATAGGAAGACGTATATGAACATTGGCCATTTAAGCCCTGTAAAGTGACATCAACGGGAATAAGACCTAAATGATGTTAAATACCACTTAATTATACAATGATATACCGAAGTTAATCAAAATCGTTAGAGCCCGTTTTGAGAAAATTGTAAAAATGTGTTTCACCGTTGACATAAAGTGGCACTTCCGGTAAGTCGATTTTAAGGAAAAAGTTGCCAGGACATCTCGTAAATACGTAATATCAGTTTCGTAAGACTTTTCGTTTTCGAGCTAGAGTGTTTACAAACACACAGACTATTTTTCGTGACTTGTTTATTTGGATTCAAGGTACCTCAAAACGTCTATTTCCGTTTAAAACTCAGACTTGAAAATATTCACGATCGCAATACCTATCCTTACTATATATTATATATATAGATAAGTAAAAGAAAATAATCATATAAATCGAACATTATTTAGCAAAGCTTTTACCAAACTGTAATTTGAACACTATTTTGATATATTACTTTGAATGAACCATAGTAATAGAACAAGGCAATGAAAATCATTAATTAATAATTTCTCGCTTTCATAATACATTTCATTTTCTTATTTACATATTATAACACCTTCTTATTATTACCAGGCAATAACATGAGAGAGGAGGCCATGTTCAATAAAACACCATCGATATTTACCCCCGAAAAAATCGATTGAGGTGTCTTTCAATACTATCGAGGTCGAAGCCAGTTATTTTTTGTTTTCAACTCGAGCAGAGGTCGCTCAGCCAAGGATCTTTATCGCAATATTTTTTTTTCCACTATCTCTAGGGAGCGATCGGTTCCTGGAGGCCATCGAGATTGCAAAGAGCTGTAATACGATATCTCCTGTAAACTTTTTGGCCTGGTTACGTCACACAAAAGTAGATGCAATCGTTAAAAAAAAAAAAAAAAAAAAAAAGAAGAACTGATGCATAATGATAATTGCCAGCAATTATGACAAATAATGTACAGTACAAGTTATAAATAAAATATATCTGATGCACATCACACAACTTTCACTTACCAAACCTAGAGAAGATAGATATCTTCGTATATAGGGAAGTCAAAATGAAAACGAAGGTTTTACTTCATTTGAAACAATCAATTAATTTTCCCGCCCATCGAATGTATTAAATTTATACGTTTGCATCACTTCCCACTTCCTTTTACGACTTTGGATAGTACCAAGCAATACTAATGATTGTGGGAAAAAATAGATCTTTTGTAAAAATTCTGAGTTTTATCAGAAATATTTATCATGATAACCGTTGAAAAAATAACTTATCGTTAGTAAATATTGTATATTATTAGGATATATCATATGAGCTTTTCAGTTGACAGAATGACTAACTCCAATTTCAAAATTTATAGAAGGAAGTTAGTCAACTGTTCTATACATCATGGGTGATAAATATTCAGGACGCAGTAATTATTAAGGTTTTTATTAATGCCGACGTTTCAACCCAAACATGTGGGTCATCATCAGAGCGTGTTTCAAGCATTGAAGGTATTCAAGTATGCTGACTAAGTCAGTACTTGAATACCATCAGTCCTCGAAACAAGCCCTGATGATGACCCACACGTTTGGGTTGAAACTTCGGCACTAATAAAAACATTTTAATCACTGCATCCTGAATATTTATCATCCATAGAAATTTATATTTGTATAGACTGTGAGTATGTTGATTACAGAGTAGGTGATTGCAGTGTTGACATATAGAACTGTGAATAAAGGTATACATTTTCGCACAAGAAATATCACTAAATTAAAAAAAAAAAAAAATATTGAAATTGGAGTTGGTCATTTTGTCAACTGTAAGGCTCATATAAAATTTAGCGGAATCTGGTTATTTGGACTCAGGGCACCTCAAAACATATATTTCTGTTGAAAACTCAGATTCGAAAATTTTCACGATCGCAATACTTTCTCTACTATATATTACATATATAGGTAAGTGTAATTAAAAATTAGAAACTAATAGGGCTACAATTGAGTATTTGAGACATATTTTTCATGGACAGCACAACAGACAGTTCAACGAATATAGTTATTTATAATATTTGTTTGGTTAGGCTTTAAGGCGTAAAACCCTAGGGTCATTAACGTCTGTGAGTCGATTATTTTTGTTATCTGTTGATTTTATAAACTAGTTACTTATAATATTAAGAATCGTAAATGAGTTTTCATTAGTACAGCTACAGCAATACGAGGTATTTTACAAAAAAATACCTTATAAAAAAATTATTCCCAGAGGATTAAGGTGCTTACAGTAACTAATCAACGTTAAACAACGTCTAGCGTGGTTAGTAATCGGATTGGTGACCGTCCACCAAGGAAAATCATGCTGGTTCCCACGGGTCTGTGAGGATCGTCGGCATAAGGGAGTCAACTCAAAGAGAACCCTAGGAGTGATAACCCAACCCCTTCCACTTTAATCGGGAACTGTGATGTAGTTCTTCAAGATGTCAATAGCCCCTGAGGTTTGATCCATCTGTTTTTAAATAAGTCCTAGTCCGCCATTTGATCTATCTGCCATACTCTAAGCATGGACCTAGAAGAGCGATTTGTAAACGGCCAGCAGCAGTATGATGGAGATCATAGTCTGTAGCAACGTGAGGTTGAGTGACCCCCTCGAAGCTATATCGCAGACAAAGATCAACATCGTCTATATCGCTAACAGAAAAATTAACCTATGTACATTTTTATCTTTGCGTTTTTACTAAACCTTAGCTCATATCGATTAAAAATAATATCCAGGTTTTTTTTTTTTCTATTTTCCAATTGTTTAAATTTAAATTTAATTTACTCAGATCTTGCAACGCCTCAAGACGTAAGATATACTCATTACCTTTGTTGTCGAGACGTTATACATCGAATTACACGAAGGAAATACTCTTAACACTACAATTACATATAACATGCTATACACTACATTTAGAACTTTAGAAGAATGAAATGAGATGAAGCGGATCGCCGGTCCAATTTCTTTTTGCGGTACCAGCTCTCCTCTCTTCATTCATTAATTTTCACTTACCTCTCAATGATGGGTGTATACGGGCCGTTCCTGTAGGCCGTCCTGTCGCGGGTTCGATTCCTCGAGAGCGACTCCCCTTGGGAATGGTAGCTCCCGCTCCTGCGGATGTAGCCCCCCGCCCCCTCCCGATCGTAGAAATGACTAGATCTATCGAAACTGCTGCTCAGCTCCTCCGAGCCCCTATAAAATAAAAAAAAATAATAACATCAGTAACAGTTTTCAAATAATTAAATAAAAAATACATATAAAATAAATAACATAGGACTCAATATAGGCCATTGCAGTACAGTAGTTTTTAAGTTTAGCGAATAATGTTACTATGACAGTGTGAGAACAGAAAGGTTTAATTTTACTTATTTATTCATTTTTCATCTTGTGAAGATGACAAATAGACTTGCAGTCATTATATGGTTTAATATGCTTGCCAAAGTTTCAGCTCATTCATCGTCATCAATTGATGGCTATTTAAAAAATATATATATATACATATATATATATATATATATATATATATATATATACTGTACCACTACAAAACCAAGAAGGGTCTTGGGTTCAGTACTATTTCAATCCCAACGATTGTGCAGGGAGATCAGGCCACGATCACGGTAAACCGCCAGGTTTTCCACCTTAATGCATTATTAAATTAAGGGTACCCACTTGGTAACCCAAGACTTACCCAAGGGAAGTCTCCCTACCCCAGGGTCGCCCCATGGCCAATTAATCAAAATAAATAATTTTTCTGACATGGACCGGGATTCGAACCTAGGAACATTGAAAGATTAGTGCCGCTCGCTTTATATTTGGTAGTTAGAAAGCAAAAATACTCTACAGTATTAATTTTTTTTTTTTAAATATTTATAAAAATAGTCAGGCTGCAAAAGCCTGCAAGATGAATTTTATTAGCAACAGTTTTGAGCTATTCTGGTAAATATTGAACTAGTACAAATTCAAAAATACAAACTAAAAAAATTAACGAAAACACCAAATTTTTGTCTTAATAATTCAATAAAAATTTAACAGAAAAATAAATTTCATAAAGAAAAAATAGTAACGAATTTTAAAATTGTTTTTTATTCATTCACAATTCAGCCATTTGTGGATTTTATTGACCAATGCCATCTTATTATCCAATATATTTATTTAATAAAAAAATATATGAAATAAAATTTACAAGTAAAGATAATATTTTTTTTTAATTCATTAAATATTCATTACAGTAAATATATGATTATAATAAGTAATTATAATTTTAAAAATATTATATAAGAGCCTTTGAGGTTCAGACATATTGATCATATGGGCAATAACACATGTATTATGGAATGGAGTATCAGAAACTCCAATGGATAGAACAGGATCGACAAGATTAAAGTAAAGCTACCAAAGTATAATTTAATATTTCACTCATATGGACTGTAAAGAATACGAAAGACAAGAATCAGTAAGGAAGATTGAACTAACGAAACATAATCAGGAGAAATATAAAACAAACTGGATTTCTATGATAGGGAAGCATTGAACGATGTGCAATTACTTTTAAACAGAAAGGATTGTTAATAAATAAATAGTACAGGAGTATTGAAGAACAAGAAAAATTTAAGAATTAAGTAATAGTCTGTCTGAAAAACTCTGAGGTTTTGGCACAATTAATCGAAAAAAATAAAAGAAAAGAAAAAGGTTCCGTTGGCAATATTAAAAAGCAATGGAAATATTGACTGTATTTATTGTTAATATCAACCAAAAGTAAATACCGCATCGTCGAATGTTAATCGTAAATAAATTTACAAGAGGAATTTTATAATGAAAACTACAAACTGAAAGGTGAAGAGCAATATCTTGGAGGTGTATAATATACGATTTGAACATAATTACAGTTAGCAGTTGACACAAGAAATAATAAGATATAATAAGTGTTCTCAGATGTATGGATTATATTTTTGTTTGATTGATATTAAAACTAATTGAAAAAAAAAAAGATTTCTACTTATTAAAGATCTAAAGAAACGTGAACATTTATTTCAGCACTAATTGCATACCCTCACCTGACAATTTTCTTGTAAACGAACGATTTCAACCTCACAGCGGGCATTTCGAATTCGAATTACATCCACTATTTGACGGATACTCCAATCAGGTAAACAAACTCTTAACTTCCAATCCGAACGAAATTTTTCACCAGATAAATATTGTCAACAAACACGAAATAATACTCTGAGTGTGGGTGTGTAAGACGTAGTACACAGATGTTTATCGGATAACCTCAACCACCTGGTTTCCTTAATGTCAAAGACGTAACGTAACCAAATATCTCTTTAAATATAACCTTCATGTTATTTCGGATGTTTTTATTAAAATTTTATTGAAATTAACTACGGTTTGATTTATTTATTATGCTTGCAAACACAAATTTGTATAGTCGAAAAAATGAATGTTTATATGAGTGATTCAATTGACAGGTTAAGGTTATGAATGATTTGTTTTCCTGTAACCTTCTAAATTTCTGTTTACTATACGACTTTGTTATCTTGAAATAATTCTTAAAAGGTTAGTAGTTCGATTCTCAAGATCACTCGATCAAACTTGTGGTAGAACACGAGAAATACCGAAACTAGACGAAGAAGACCGATCTCCAATTCATACTAACAGATCGTTTGATAAGGTTAATAATTAATTATTAAATTTGATAAGGTCAAGTCCAAATTAATTTCACTGTTTTTAGTCCGTGGTACAGAATCAATTTTTATCAAATTATTAACATCCGGCTGAAACTTCGTAAATAGCTTTATCTTATCGTAACATACAAATATATTATTTAGTCGAAAAAAAATTACCTTCACAAATATTGAGCCGTTTTTTGGCGTGACCTACATCCCAAAAATGTCAAAATAACGAGATTATATAGTCCAAACGGCCCAATATTTTTGTAGGCCACCCTCTCCCCCATTTAGAGTTTTCGTTAATAAAATAGTTGCAGGTTACGATGAGATGGAGCTATTCACGAAGTTTCAGGAGGGGATGTTAATAATTTGATAGAAATGGGTCTGCTCCACAGACTATTTTTATATATAAATAACAGTTACACTTCTTCTTAGATAATAACTATAATATTTATGTTACCGACCAACGATAATCAACGAAATTTCGAATTATTGACCAAAATCTGTAATACCTAGGAATAATAATGATTAAATTCAAACACTGCTTGAATAAAAAAAAAAATTTATATTTTAATGCATCTCTCTGCAGACGTACACCGCATAATTAATTATAAATAAAATTATATTATGTATTATCTGTAATACATAATATAACTTATCTGAAGAAATATGTCTGCATTTTAGGCAGATCTTCGGAATTCTTCAGGATTCTCTAATTCGTGTGGTCGAAATAATAAAAAAACCAATAATCTTAGAAATACGATTCAAAATTCATACAACATTTATAATGAGCATTAAAAAAAAAAATCTGAAATATACATATTAAACCAACTTAGTAGTGGCTAAAAATTTGTTACTTTCACTTACCTAAATATGCAATATATAGTAAGTATTGTGATCGTGAAAATTTTCGAATCTGAGTTTTCAACGGAAATACATGTTTTAAGGTCTCTTGAATCCAAATAACCAAGTCCCGCAAAATGGTGTGTGTGTCTGTATGTTGTCAGTCTAGCTCAAAAACGAAAAATCGTATGAATGTGAAATTGCACATTTAAGGTAAGCTTTCGATGTTACAGCAACATTTTCGTCAAAATCGGCAAACATGAAGTGGTACTTTATATAATTGATTTAACACATTTTTACGACTTTCTCAAAAATGGCTCGATTTTGATTAAACTCAGTATATCAGTGTATTATTAAGCATGTTTTTAATATAATGTAGGTTTTATTCTCATTCATGTACTCTATCAGGGCGTAAATAGCTAATTTTCAATATTAGCTTCCTCTAAAGTATATTTATTTGAAATAATTAACAGCTTCACATTAATCTTTGATATAAAAAATAATTACATATAAAATATGAAATAATTTGACAATTAACTAAATAAGATATCGTAACGGATAATAGTTGTAATAGAGGAATTAAAGGAATACCAGCTTACTCGAACTCACCCCAAAGGATTACAACTGGCTTTCATACGTAAAATGAGCTTCATACATTACGGACTCCGACAATACTATGTTCATATATATACATATATAATAAATAATAAAAAGGCTTAGCGAACCCGAAGGTTCGATGCCGACACCACCAATCGCTTATTGCACACCTCCCTCCATCGTTCGCCGTCCAAACCCAGTCCCTTCAGATCGGCTTTAATGCAATCTTCCCACCTTCGCTTCGGTCTATCCCTCGGACATACATATATATACATACATATATATATATATATATATATATATATATATATATATATATATATATATATATATATATATATATATATATATATATATATATATATATATATATATATACGGTTTTCATAAATGCTATCGTTGGTATTATTTAATATTTAATTGTATAGATTACAGCGATATAAAAATTAAAATTTGTATATATAAGGAAGGGTATTTAAAACAAATAATAATACCCATAATGAATTGTAAATAAATATAGCGTCAATAATTTTTACTTTCACTTCGTTTTTGTCGGAAAATACTTATGTATGCTAAGAAAAGAGTGGTATGTGGAAGTCGTGTGATGCGCGCACCACATTTTTTTTGTCATGCTTTTCCCTAAAATAATACGTGGTTAAGTTTGTCATCCCTCTTCAATCCCTCCAAAGTATGTTGGAGGGTTAAAAATTGCAAAAAAATTAGTATAAAAATAATTACTTTTGAGTATCTTAACATGTTTTTCCCATTTCTGGAGTTTTATGTTATGTTAAATTTAATCATAAGGGAAATATTATACGAAAATTACAGATATTATTGGCGATGATTTTATGTACATTCTTCATAATTCATGACCCTAACTGTAACTATATATAGCTTTATGAATTGTATATTAATACTAAAAGAAATAAAAACAATGGCCATAATAATGCTAATAAAATAAGAACATAAAGGGTTGAAAATGTGTTTTATCACAACTAAGAATGACTCAGTGGGATATATATATTTTTTTATCTCTGTCTTTCGGTCACGTACAGTATTTCTGGCTGGTTTTACTCAAAC